AGGGGCAGATACACCATTAGTGAAAAGAGTAAATTTTATCATGAAAGAATGTGGTACAAACGATGGAGATGAAAAGGTTGTATTAAGGGGTGTTGGTCGACACCTCTTCATCGAAAAATTATATTGTGTAGCTAATATATATATATATATATATATATATTACATATTGACACATCTACACGATTTTACTTAATATTTTGACACATCTTAGTCGATATTCTTGCTCCACTACTATGAGAATGTTTCTCTTTTAATTAGAAGTCTTAGATTCAAGTCTATGATAAGGGGCCCTACGCAACGAGAATCCAAATTGATTATATTCCATCGTAGGTACCAAATATCGGATGAAGTTAATTATAAAAAAAACGTAAATTTAAAATAAAAAATAAAAAAATGAAAGTGACAGTAAAGCCGTCTAATAGCTGGCTAGTGTTTCAGAAGGTCAATCCAAAGCATCAACTAAAGGTCTCTACTCTGTCTTTCTGGTTAATTATGAATTATCCAATTTTCTAACTGCTCGTTTTAATTTATTTATCTTATTTTAATTTAGTATAAAATTTGAGAAAGTAAAATTAATTTATAAATTTTGTGGTATTAAATTAAAGACACATTAAATATATCATAATATCATATAATCTTGTAATTTTAAATACGTAATATATAAAATTAATTTAAAAAATGCTAAAAAATAAATAAATATTCTTTTTAAAATGAAAGTTTTTTTTTTTTAGATCAATCGATTGTGAGCTTTTTTTATTTCCTTGACTTATTGATGTGATGTTTATTTATATTAGAGAATCCAGCAGTGCAAGTAGCTGCAAAAGGTACTAGTATATATTATATCATCAATCAACCATAGATCTTGATATGATGCTAATAAGTAATATAGCTCCCATTTCTTTTTTCTTATTATTTTGATATATATTTGATATTCATACTAAAGTCCGATGAAATAAGTTTTTCTATATATTTGATTTAGTGATGGATTTAAAATTTTAATCGAGAGCTGTCAAAATTAGACAATATAATTTATTGTCTCAAATATAAAAGAACAACGCTGAAGTTAAAACTTGAGCTAGGATCAAACAACCGACCATTGAGACTTTTTGTTGCCCTTATCTGTTGTGTTATCTCTTTACTTTGCGTCACGAGATGTCAATATATATATATAATCAAAATTTGACTTAGCTATATAATGTAATTATTTTTCGACGAAAATGTATCGTTTGACACTCCTCAGACAAGGATAGCTCCAACCCTGATTCTAATTAATTTATGTCATAATAATAATTTCAAACATCTAAAAAAAAATTAAACCTTATAAATTAAAGATTAGATAAATAAATTAAAACGAAGGAAATAAGAGAATAATCATATCTAAGTAATGATTACACTTCTTTTAAGATATTGTCAGCAATATATTTACTACTGCTACTATACTTCAAATGTCAAAAATTTATCCTCAAATTTTCCTATTGGGTTGGGCAGGTGTCCTTTTGCATGAAAAAGTCCTACTATCTATATATTCTTGTGATAAGATAGAGTAGGTGCAGTTATTTTCAGACAACAAGCCGTCACTCTGTCTTGTTATTGCAGTAAAAAATATATATATTATTTTCTTCTTCGTTTTAATTTATGTGTTATTATTCGATCAAATTTAAAAGTAAGTTTTATAAATTGGCTTTGACTATGTTGTATGGTCGTATGAGGTTGAGTGTTTCATTAGTGAAAGAAATTAATGTTCAGTAGATGAAGATAACATAAATAGGGATGCTTAGAAGGATATATATATGTATAAGGAGACAATGCGAAAGTTGCCTTTATGAGGATAAGATGTGAAAATAAAAATCGAGATAATTTAAATATGTGAAGAAGTAATTCAAATGCTAGGCTCTAATGAAGAGGTTCAAGAAGTTGACGGTGATTGGTCTGAGAAGAGGTAGAGAGACCTTAGACATTTTTAATTGAATAAGAGCATGAAGGTCGATGATTAAGATAGACATAAATAAGTAGTCGAGCGACTTCTTTCTTTCTAGTGAAGGAACATAATTCTAATCCGGAGCACATATATAGTATTTTATCAAAATTATTATTATTATGCTAGCAATATCCTATTATTCAAGTTTATTACACATGTAATTTCTCTACCTTAGTTATTTTATTATGTTTACTTTCGGTACTTTTCTTTCTTCATTATTTTCATCATAATTACTTTGATATTTTTTTTAAATCGTGATGAAAAATAATTTCTTTGAGCCAAAGTTCATCGCAAACAACGTCTCTACCTTACAAATATACAAATAAAGTTTGCGTACATCTACTTTCTCCAATTCTTATTTATAATATTATACTAAATATGTTATGGTCGATAATTGATTGGACACAAATTTTAAAAATATGGTATAGAGAGAGAAAGTGACAGTGAAAGAGATCCCATAGTTCAGTACTTGGTGGGAATCTAATTAGCATAACTAAAACTGAGAGTTGTATGGGTCTTATGTGCAGCTACCAATATAGTACTATTATATGATCACTACGTCACAATATCTTAATTATCATTGGTTTATAGTACTTTCATTACAGAATTACTAAGTACAGTTTGATGCCAAATATAATCCTTTTTCTAAGTTTAATTTTTTTTATACAATATTGTTTTCTATACTTTAATCAAATATTGTCCAAATTGTGTCTAATTTAACCATTTAATATTTGAAATTCACTATCCTACTACTGAAATTGGTGATAGTTTGGTGTTTTGTAGCTATTTTTTCTTTCATAAAAGTAGTATTAGCAGTATTCCCATAGTTTCTTGTGTTTCGTATTTCTGTTACTACATGTTAGTTTTTGTGTTTCGATTATCGCATTAGTTTATTATTTTTACTAATCTTTTTTTATTTAGAACAAACTAAAATGAAAAGTGTGTCACGTAAACTTAACAAAGAAGTACCAAACACGGAATCAAATACCCACAATTTATCCCAAGAATCCCTTATCTCCCTCATTTGGGTCAAAACCAGGATTAATCTAGATAACCACATTCTATATGAGATAAGTTATATACCAAAATGTTGATATAAAAACAATACTGATTTTAATTAATAAGTAACTCAAACAAAAAAACAACCTCTCTACCCTATAAAGGCAGGGGGGTAAGGTCTCTCACCCTCCTCAAACTTCACTTGAGAAATTACACCGATATGTTGTTGTCGTTGTTATTGTTAACTCAAACCAAACACAAGATAAATTTAATCTCATTATTTATACCAAAATAATCCACCTAATCCCTTTAACCAAAGCCCCTAACTATTTTCTTTGAGCAAAGTAAAATTGAAAGAATCAAATAATTACTGAGATGAGCTCATCTTTATGTATTGCCTCAGCATGTAGAGGATTTCAGAACTGCACTGTCATATCATAAAAAGTATACTTATGATATACAATAATGGCTGCATGGCTCATCATTTTCTTTTGTTCTATAAATTGGCTGTTACTAACTTCACTTCTCATGCACTCAATAACTTTGATCCATTTTGTTTCTTTACTCACTTAGATCAAGAACTTGCTTTTCATTTTCTTCTTGAAAAATGTCTGTGATCAATGCCAAACATTTCACTCTCTTTGTCTTGCTGATCTGCTTTTTAGTAATTCAAGAATCTCATGGTCTATCTCTAAAGGAAGTTGCTCCTGTGAAACTCCTAAACAGAAAGGTTCTTATCACTTTCATCTTATTCTCATACTATCTTTTACTATTGTCTATTCATTATAAGCTTACCTGGTTAAAATAAGAAGTATTATTAAAGAAATAAGAAGGTTAGAGGCTACTTCCCGAGTCTTTACTGCCCTGTTTTTTGTTACTTTCCTTATTTCGATCATCCACGAGGTTGTCAAAAGAGAGAAAGGGGGTGGCTATCTAGGGGGAGTCGTTTCGGTTGAATGACCCAAAGTCTCTATGGACAAGGGGACAAGTGAATCATCGCTTAGATTTCCATGACTAAGTACTAATCCTTTAAAACTATATGTGCATGCAGGTTTTAGAAAAACAGTGGGCTGCATTTGGAAAGGTATACTACAAGCATGCAGAGAAGATTAATGAGAAGTTTGCTGATTGGGAGCTAAGAGGAGTTCCAGCTGGTCCTGATCCATTGCATCACAATGGTGCTAGTCCTAAGAAACCTAAGACTCCATGATCATGCAATATTAATTTTGTTTTAGCTCTATGTTCAAGTTTTTAGTAAAGGGTAGTATATGGTTTCATGTTTCTGTTTTTGTTGTTTTTGGCCCAATAGAAAGGAAAAAACAAAAGAAACAAAAATGTAAGTATGGGCTTAGGCTTTAGGCTAGCTAAGTTGGAATATTAGGATTTCAAGTCTCCCTGGTATGTATATAGTTTGATGCAAAGTTGTCTTTTTTATTACTAGTACTAAAAAAAACCAAGAATGAACATTAGTTTTTGCTGTACTCTCAATGTCATCGATCCAAAGAATGTTTTTCGAGCTAAAGGGTTAATTTCCTGGATATTGATTCTTCAAGCTGATAAAAGATGATGAGAAAAAAGAAGACCCTACTAAAAAATTGCCAATTTCTTAAGGAAATCCCCTATGGAAGTTTTTGACAAAATCCGTTCGAATTTGGCTTGTTGATTGGTAATGTTTCAGACGGAGAAATCCTTTACCGACAAGCCAAACTCTGACAGTACATCCTAGTGAGAAGGACAATCAGTTGAGGTACAACAACAACAAATACCTAGTGTAGTCCTACAAGTAGGGTTGTGGGGTCTGGGAAGGGTAGTATGTACGGAACCTTAACCTACCTTGTGAATATTGTGAGGTTGTTTCCGAATCAGTTTAGGAAGAAGACACATGTATAGGACCTATTGTAAGTCCTATAGAAAAGCTTGATTTTTAAACTTATTTCAAATGATTAAATACAAGCTCAACTACATAACTTGATCAGCCAAGTACAAAGCAAAAAACTAATCTTCTTTATAATGATGTACAAATATGAAAGTAATTAACCACATTCATATAATTCACTAAAATCATCTTCAACATATCCAGACACTTTTAACTCACCTGACAAATGCTCAAGCATTGCGTAAACCTGCTCTGCATGTATATGTGATCTATCTCCGGCCACAAATTCATTAAGGACACCATCAACCTCAATAGAACTAATTCCCGGTCTCTTTTGAATCCCGAGTGCCTTCATTTTCTTCCTCACAGTACTAGCTCCACGCCAACTTCCCACTGCAGCATATATATTAGAAAGCAGCACGTGATTTGAATCTCCATCCGGATCCAATTTGTAGATATAATGCATTAGCCTTTCAGCTAATCTTACATCGCTAAGATTTCGACAAGCAGCTAATATAGACCCCAATATAACTTCATTTGGCTTCATGGGCATATTCTTAATAATGCCTAATGCATCTTCCAGTCTTCCAGCACGACTGTAAAGGTCAACTATACACCCGTAGTGTTCAATCCTAGGAGTAATCCTATGAACTCTCTTCATTGCTTTGAAATACTTCAACCCTTTTTCGACTAAACCAGCATGGCTACATGCCGTGAGAACTCCTGTAAAGGTCACTGCATCCGGTTGAAAACCTTCATTTTGCATCAAATCAAAATATTGTAGAGCATCTACCGCGTGCCCATTGACTGCTAATCCAACAATGGTTGAATTCCACGAAACCAAGCTTCTCTCGGTCATTCTATCAAACACCTGACACGCCAATTCTAGGCATCCACACCTACAGTACATGTCGATTAACGAGTTATTAACACGAACATTATCCTTAAATTCACGTCGCAGGATAAACCGGTGTAGCCATAGGCTTATACCAAGAGTACCCAAATTAGCACAAGCCGAAAGCACTGAAATCATCGTTACATAATCAGGCTCAACCCCAGATAACTGCATTTCTCGAAACCATACTAAACCTTCTTCAAAAAGCCCATTCTTGACAAATCCACCAACCAAAGCCGTCCAGGAAATAACATCTCTCTCAGGAATTTCATCGAACACCTTAACCGCATTCTTGAAATCCCCATTTCTCATGTAACCATCAACCATGGTGTTCCAAGTCACCTTATTCTTAACACCCATATGATCAAAACTCAATCTCGCAAGCCCCACAAGTCCAAACTTCGAATACATGTCAATAACAGCAGTACCCACTTTCACATTCTGAGTATCCAACCCGAGTTTTCTAGCATACCCGTGAAGAGCAGAGCCAAGAGACAGAGCTTGAGCAGGAAAATGAGCACAGCCGGAGAGAAGAGTAACGAAGGTAATGTGGTTAGGCTCAACGCCGGAATTCCTCATGCGAGTGAACTCGGAAACCGCCTCGATTAAACGGCCGTTTTTGCAGTGACGGGCAATTAACGAGGTCCATGAAGCTGTAGAGTCATTATTGCTGCGGTAGGTGGCGGCGGAGGCGGAGTTTTTATTATGGAGCTGGGGGAGTTGTAGCGGCGGCGACAGCGATGGCGGAGTGGTGGCGGCAGTGACATTAAAGGCGGGAAGGGCCATTGCATATTTTCAAATTACAGTTGGAGACATATCCTAAATATAAAAGTTGTTATTAGTGAAAAATAACCACTCTCATTAAATAAGATAGCCGCTATCGTAGAGTTTCAAATTGCACCGAATGAAAGTTCATAACGAAACTTCAGGATATTGTTATAAAGTTTTACCCGTGAAATTTGAAATCTATGAAATAAAATCAAATAAAAGTAGTAGTAAGTGTTATTTCAGAACTACAAATAGAGAATCACATATTGCCACTTTGATTTAAAATATAGCCAAAATTGTAGAGTTTCTAATTGCACGGTGAGAGTTCATGGTAAAACTTCAAATATTGTCATAGAATTTTGCTTGTGAAATTCGAAACCTATGAACAAAACTACAAATAGAGAATCACATATAGCCACTTTGATTTAAAATATAGCCATAATTGTAGAGTTTCCAATTGCACGGTGAGAGTTCATGGTAAAACTTCAAATATTGTCATAGAATTTTGCTCGTGAAATTCGAAACCTATGAACAAATTACATTAAAAGTAATAAGTAAATGCTATTTTAGAATTCATAAATAGAGAACTACAAAATAGTCACTTTTCAATTATTGTGGTGGTAAAAAAGTTGATCGATGTTATGAAGTTTTAAATTGCAGATGTAAATTTTTAAAGCTTCACTTATGAAAATTGAATTTTATGACAGTAATTTCAAAGACAACAACAAAAGTGATTAGTGGATGTTGTTTTAGAATTCACAAATAGAAATTTCATAAATAACCAGTTTTCAATCCCCATAATTTAAATCTTTTTTTTGGCTATTTACCGATCCAATATTGACTTGGCACTCTTCTTAAAGAGCAATAGATATAATCCCAATTTTACTTCATCACTTTTTGATTGCAATAGCTTCGATATTTTGGAAAATGACTATACTTAAATAATAAAGAAAAATTAGGAAATAAATGACAAGTTATCTCTTGATTTTTTCAAATGTCAAATTAAAATGGACATTAATTTTCAATATAGTGAACAAATAAAATTAAATGAAGGAATTTATTATCATCAAATTTCAAATTTCACAAATAAAATATGAGGGTGTTGTTAATGATAATCATAATGATAATTTTTCCATTATCAATTGATGTTATTCAAATTTAATTAGTAATAAAAAAATGAAGGGATCTCTCTTGAGTGTTTCCTTAACAAAGTTGTCGCTGACAGCCCTCACTGTTGTTGTCAAGTACACAACACAACAATAAAAGAATTAGTAAAAATTGAAAGGTTTTTATTTAAAATCTCGCTCGGATATCTTCTTAAAGCAAAATAGACACACATACGGACAACTAGAGAGTTTACTTGAATCTTGCGGCTTTGGGTAACACCTAATTAAGTGTTTCATTTACTTTGGGATATGTGAAACTATATTTAGTTGTACAATTCAAATATCAATAATTTTAGACACTTGCCAATTCATTTGTCTATTCAAAGATAAATGCTAGCTTTGGAGGTGGAACTATATTTGTTTCTACAATTCAATTATCAACAATTTATACATATGCCAATTTATTTGTTTATTCATAGATCAATCCTAACATTTTTAAATGAAAAGTGCTAAGCTTTCGTGAGATATTAATGCTTGCTATTTTTTAATTACGTATTTTTCGTACTTATTTTCCTTGTATCTTCTCTCGGAAAGAGCTAGGTCTTCTTGGTTTTAGCAATTTGAATTGAGAAGTTAAAAAAATCCTTTCTTACTCAAAGTTTTACCTATTGATTTTACCCTTATTTTCAATATATTTGACATCAAAGTCAAATTTATCTCAATTCATTATTTTCAGTGTTGAATTCCCGATTTTATATTGTTCACTCTCTGAATTTTTAGTTCTAGACGTGCGGGGAGGGGGGGATAGGGGGTGGTGGAGTCAATATCATTCACAAGATGTGAGTTTTATTTTCTTTGGCGGTATGTGTAACTCTAACACAAAACACCCTTAACTTACTTTGACGGTGTACACGTAACTGTATTTTTTTGTATCATTCAAATATCAACAATTTTATACACTTGCCAGTTTATTCAAAGATCGATTATTATTTTCATATGAAACGTGTTAGACTTACGTGTAACACTAGTTAATGTATGCTATAGAAGACTCTTAACTTGTTTTAGCGGTACACGCAACTATATTTGTTTGTATCATTCAATTATCAGTAAATTTATGCAGGTGTCCGTTTATTTACATATTGAGAGATTGATATCGATTTTTTCAAATGAAACGTGTTAGACTTGTGTGTAACACTAGTTAATGTCTACTATCCTTCAATTACTTGTTTGTCGTCGTGCATATTTCCCCTTTTATATTCTCTCAGAAAGAAAGAAAAGGAGAGGAAAGGCAAAACTCAAAAAGAAAACAAGTTCTTCACAATTGATCTCATTTTTCTCCTAAGAAGAAATGCCAATCAACTTGCAACTATTCATCTTTGTGTTAATTTTTCTTTTTTTTCTTCTTCTGAGTGATTTCTTCGTAACTAGTATTGAAAAAGGATCATTGATCGGTTTGAAAGAATATTTCTTTTGTGAAAAGTTTCACATGATGACACTTACAAGTTGCAAGATGAAAAGTTTGAGTGATATTTAAAGGTATCTTTTTAATGAAATCCTCTCTCTCAAATTATATTTCACTTGTTTTAATTTTGAATTTTTGATAGTACTAAATCTCTCAAATTCTATTTCACTTGTTTTAATTTTGTTACCTTTTATAATAGTACTAAATCCTTCATTAGAGTTGTCCATAACATTAGAAATTTCACTAATTGACATAAATTTTCACTTTTGACAATTATGCAGATAAAATTAATGAAAAGTATGTTGATTGGGAGCTAAGAGGAGTTCTAGCTGGTCCTAAGAAACCAAAGACTTTATGATTATGTAATATTTATTTTGTTTTAGCTCTATGTCCAAGTTTTTAATAAAGGGTAGTATATGGTTTCATGTTTCTTCTATTTTTGTTGTTTTTGGCCCAACAAAGGGGGAAAAAAAGGAAACAAAAATGTAAGTATGGAATTAAATAGATTTGATGCAAAGTTATCCTTTTTATTACTTATTAATACTAAGAAAGCTCAAGAATGAACAATAGTTTTGTTGTATTCTCAATGTCATCAATGCAAGGAATGCTTTTGGAGCCAAAGGGTTAATTTGCTTTGCTATATATATTGGTTCTTCAAGCTGATAAAAAACTAATGAAAAAACAAAATTATCAAAAAATTGCTAATTTCTTATGAAGTCCGTCTAAATTTGGTTCATTGATGGTAATGTGTCCGATGGGGAAATCATTTACTGATAAACCAAACTTTGATACCTTCTTAAAACGATATAGACACACATATATATAAGTAGAGAGTTTTCCTAAATCTTACGGCTTTAGGTTATACCTAATTTAGTGTAGCATTTACTTTGGGATATGTGAAACTATATTTGTTTCTACAATGCAATTATCAACAATTTTATATATGTGTCAATTTGTTTGTTTATTCATAAATCAATCCCAGCTTTTTAAAATGAAATGTGTTAAACTTTTGTGAGACATTAATGCTTGCTATCTTTCAATTACGTATTTGATGTATTTATTTTCCTTGTATCTTCTCTTGGAAAGAACTAGGTCTTCTTGGTTTTAGCAATTTGAATGGAGTGGTAAAAAAATCATTTCTTTCTAAAAGCTTTGTCTATTGATTTTACCCTTGTTTTCAATATATTTGGGATCAGAATCGAACCCATCTCAATTCATTATTTTTGATGTTTGGATCCCTAATTTTATTTTGTTCACTCTTCAAATATTCAGTTCTAGACGTGCGGGAAGGGGGGGAGAGGAAAGGGGGTGGTGGAGTTCATATGTTCACAGGATGAGAATTTGATTTTCTTTGGTGGTACACGTAACTCTAACAAAGAATCCCCTTAACTTACTTTGGCGGTACACATAACTGTATTAGTTTGTATCATTCAAATACCAGCAAATTTATACACTTGCCAGTTTATTTGCGAATTAAGTGGCCGTATTAATTTTTCAGATGAAATGTGTTAGACTTGCGTGTAATACTAGTTAACGTCTGCTATAGAACAACCTTAACTTACTTTAGCGGTACACGCAACTTATTTGTTTATAACATTCAAATATCAAGTTATCAACAAAATTTATACACGTACCCGTTTATTTACTTATTCAGAGATCAATATCAATTTTTCAGATGAAATGTTTTAGACTTGCGTGTAACATTAGTTAAAGTAATCTATCCTTCAATTACTTGTTTGTCGTCGTACATATTTTCCCTTTTATATTCTCCCTGAGAGAAAAGAAAAGAAGAGGGAAGGCAAAATAGAAAAAGATAACAAGTTCTTCATAATATATTTCATTTTTCTATTAAGAAGATATGTCAATCAACGTGCAGCTAATCATCTTCGGGTTATTTTTTCTTTTTTGTTTCAGAGTGATTTATTCATAATCAACGTACAAAAAGGATCATTGATTGGTTGGAAAGAATATTTCTTTTGTTAAAAGTTTCACATGATGATACTTGCAAGTTGCAAGAAGGAAAGTTAAGAGATGTCAATTTATTTTCTATCTTTCAATTACATATTTGTCACACTTATTTTCCTTGTATGTTCTCTCGGAAAGAAATATGTGTTCTTGGTTTTAGCAATTTGAATTGAGCAATAAATAATCCTTTATTTCTCAAAGCTTTGCCTATTGATTTTACCCTTGTTTTCAATTTGTTTGATATCAGAGTCAAATCTATCTCAATTCATTATTTTGGATGTTGGGTCCCCAACTTTATATTGTTTACTCTCCAAATATTCAGTCTATAACGTGCGGGGAAGGGAGGAATAGGGGGGGAGTTCATATCTGTAACGGCTCAGCCTGCTAGTGATATTATCTGCTTTGGGCCTAGGCCTGCACGACTTTAAAATGTGTCAATAGTTGGTAAGGCCTGCTTACTTATATATTCAACATATCTCTCTTGT